TTCTTTCTTTCTTTCTTTCTTTCTTTCTTTCTTTCTTTCTTTCTTTCTTTCTTTCTTTCTTTCTTTCTTTCTTTCTTTCTTTTTCTGTCTGTCTGTCTGTCTGTCTCACTGCACTGTTTAAAGCAGAGACATTAAGGAAAATGTACATACAAAAGTAGTGTTAGTGAATATGCATATAATTGTCCCTCAGCATTCAAGAATAAGTAAACAAAAGGTAAAGATGACTTCTTTCTATTGAGTTTCCCCCCCCCCCCCAAATGTTTAATGGCACAGTAGAACAAAGCTGCTTAGATTCCCAAGAAAAATCCTAAAAGTAAATTAGAGATAAAGGCTCTAATAGTTTAAGGCCACTTATATTATTTCAATATAATCTGTATAGGATGAAGTGGTTTAATCCAACTAGTTACTACCTATAACTAGGTAACTTCCAAAATGAATTCTTAGTTTGGTAGAGCCCCTCACCCATGTAGAACACAATTGCTTTTAAATTCTTTCAGCTGTATCCTATAGATAAGTACTGTAAATACATGCTTCCCCTCACTGGAATTGTGGGTTTGGGATTTACAAGATGGGATTTACATATAGTGCCACATCTTGCAACTCATGGTGGTTTATAATAATCCACTAAATCAATAAAGTACAATACAATGAAAAAAATAATGATAATCATATAGCAATATGAAATGATTATTTCAAAAATAAAGAATGATAATCATATAGCAATACAAAATTAAAATGAATGAAGAACAAATAAATTTAAATATACCGATGTCAACATAGTGAATGGACTAACATTAATTCTCAAAGGCCCTATTTTGGCAGCTTTATGGAAGAGTTAACACCATCTAGACCACCAGGAGAAACTATTCTACAAAATGGGGGCACTATAAAGAAACAGATTAAAGTTTGATTTTACAACTTGCATTCAGTTCCTACATACAGGCAAGTCCTACATACATGCTGTAATGATACTTATTAAATTCATTTTATGTCTGGACATAAATTCCAGTGTTTACAACACAATACATTTGTCTTTGAAGAAATAATCTTATTTTCTGCAGGACTGGTTTAATTTGAAGCCAATTTAGGAAACTAGAAAATCAGGTTTCCATACTGTACAGGAAATTAGTAATGAAAGCTCCTTATTTACACTAGTTCAGTTCTAAACAGATGAAGGGCTGAGAATCGGTGATAATAATTTAATAATTACACAATTTTAACTGAATGTAGAATGAACTTATAAAGTGCACAGTCCTAATATTCTGGGTGGTCTCCAATCTAAAGTTTGTTGGGTGCTGCCATCTGTAATAAATTCAAACTCGTTAAGTTTCACTAACTCAGTAAGTTTGATTATTCTGCCATAAGATTTTTTAAATTTATTTTAGGTAGTTAAATCATCATCTCTTTCACTGATAAATTCCAAAGGCTCTTTTTAAAGTACAAAACCTTAAAATAAGGACTGATAAGAGCTAAGTATGGCATATGGATAATTAAAAGATTGAGATAGTGTGTACAAAAAATAATACTTTTGTTATTCTTTCATTTTATCATGTATGTTTAGATACGAGATCACTTCATAGTTTGTTTTCCTAATTTTATTAATCCTAAAAACATGACAGAAAAAAGCAACACACATCAATATCACATTTGTGTAGAATTAACCTCAGAAATATATTCTGACATATTATACTTTTTCACTTTAAGCAGTGATCAATTAAGCAGTGATCAATTAAGACTTAGTGCTTGCCAAAAAACAACTCTTATATTGTCACATATATCCATTATAAATACAAAAACCTATGTTAGCTGCTTCTGGTCCAAAAGGAAGAAGAACATTTGCAACCTTATTTAAAAGATTAAAAAGTAATACAACAAATTAAAACACCTGAAACTAGCAAGGAATTTATTTTGTAGCCCTGAAAACACTTCATGAAAGTAAAATTATTTTTTTAATATTATTTTATTGAAGAATTCTGTAATAAGATAATACAAATATTAGAAATGAAACAAAGAAAATAAGGAAGAATAATGAATAAGTAAAAAAGAAGACAGAAAAAGGAAAAAAAGAAGAGAAAGGGAAAGGGAAAGGGAAAGGAAAAGGGAAAAAAAGATGATTAGGAAATGGCTTCTGATCTTTTTGACAGAGGTTATAAATGCATTTATATTTTACCCTCTCTCTCTAAGGTTACATCATAATTTCCTTCTTTCCAAAAGCTACCCTTTCTAATCTTCAAACCCAAAAAATCCCAGGTCAATTTTCCCCTTTTTTTTCAGCAAAAAAATCCATAAG